AGTGCCTGAGGTTTGTTGTGTCCTCTGAAAAAAGGGGGGGGGGGGGGGGGGGAGAAGAAAAAGAAAAGGAGGGCAGAATGGGTGAGATGCATGCAACCTCAGCCATCTCTCTTAGGCTGGAACAAAGGCACCAAAATAACCTGCTTCGGCACTAGATGGGGACAGACTCTGTCTGACCTCCTCTCACACAGGCACCATGGCAGAGAGGCAGCTGTAGTTAATAGCTTTGTCCCTGGGGCCAAGAGCAAAGAAGAAATCTCTGATACAGCAAACCAAAGCAAAATACACCACTAGAGGATGCTGACTGATTTCTGTGCACAATGAAAACAGCTGGCTGGGCTAAGGCAGCTCTCACAAAGGGAGAAACATACCCACTTTGGCCATACAGCACTCTTTGGGCTATTCTGCAGTGTCTCCTTCCCCTACCTCTCTCATGCATACACACTGCTGATTCAACAGCCTGTGATGCTGAACACCTTCAGCTGTGGCAGCAGAACTCAGTGAAGAGGTGTTGTGCACCTATGTGAAATACTGAGGTGTTTCCTCCCCCCCCCTAAAGTAAACACGTAAATTAAAAAGAGGGGGCAGGGGGAGAAGGTTTTGGAGAAGAAGTACAAGGGACAAAACTGGAAACGCAACCCTCACTGACTTTACTAGCATGCAATCTATGTAACAGTAATATACAAAGCCTGTTTACCTTGGCCTGGTCTATGACCACTACATCATCCCCAAACAAGCCACAGAATTAAAATCTGTACAAAATAAAAAATATGCATAAAACTCAACGAATTTCTTTACATTAGTACTGCATAATAAAGCATAAAACCAGCAGGAGGTGACCCAAAAATTCCATCCACAGCAGCTCTTGCAGGATAAACAATTCCACATGCTATCAGCAGGGACCAAACTAACCCCTGGCCCATCAGACTAAAGCCAGTTCTTGAAAGTGGAATGCGTGAAGCTCCTTAAAGTTTTTGCAGCCTCATCTTCTGTGCTGAGCTCAGCTCGGACAAGCATTCAGTGCTTCCCAGAGTTCACACCAGCTGAATGAAGATTAGACAAGGGTGTGTATCACACACAGTGGAAGAACACACTATCCCCACCCACCTGTCAGAAGTATTCAAGCGCATGCTCTTACACAGACTGAGTTAAAGACACATTTCACTAATGCGTGACCTCCCAGCTGGAGCATGGGTGCACAGGGAGAGAGGTTCAGCTCTCACTTAGTAACTCGCTAAACTGCCATAACTTGATACATTTGAGCACTGTGTGCTCAGTCTTTACCACAAACCCACCCAGGGCAAGAGAAACCAGGAAAGCTCTGATAGTCCTAGAAAACACAGCCACCCTGTGAACACCAAAGGCTTGCGCAATACTGCTGTTCAATCACCTGGGCCGCTAGCTGGGCTGCAAGCACCACCTCCCTGTGCAAAAAGTGTAGACCTGCCCTATGACACTAGAAACAGTCCTTCCAGTGACCGCACAACCCATGTTTCTAGGCTTGTTCCCAGAGAACGGGCTGAGGGAACCAAACATGGCTGCTTCTGTTAGTCTTGCTGCGAGACAAAAGTTTTCACGGAGGAAGGTAGAAGGGTACCTGTTCTGGCTAACACTCATCCCAAACAATAATGCTGTCAGCTTCCAGAAAGAAGACAACAGTGTCTTGGCTACACGGCTGTGGCCTGAGCAGAGGAGAAAGTAGCTTCTATCTTCGCACCAGTGTCTTCAAAGTTGTACCTCCTGTAGGCTTCAACCAAACTAGTTCCTTACGCACTGTCACAGGAGTTAACGCACTCTTCCGCAAGCTCACAGCAGGTGATCAAATTCATCCATATGCCACAAACACATCTCACCTGACTGTTTCCTCTTTCTTCCCCCTTGAGCTGCTATGGCACCTCCCTGCCCAGGTCTGCACCAAACCTGCACCTCCATCCTGATATTGCACTAATTACCAAGCAAGGGGATTGGGTCAATTACCTGTATCATTGCCAATACCGTCACAAACCCAGCCCCGCTAGCGGTCTCTTGTGCGCTGCTCTGTTTTACACGCAGGCCTCAGAAGACAGCTGCAGCATTGTCTCACCTTTGACAAGCTGCTGGTGGTACCAGCTGGAACTTGGCCAGGCAACAGTCAAAAGTTGTCCGGGAAGATGCCCTGGCCCAGGAGGCTCTCACAATACAGGGGTCAGCTCAATTTGCAGGCTAACAGGACTGCAACAGGAGGTTTAATCAGTTCACTCTGTTAATGCATGACGTTTACCCAAAGATAACATTTAGTCCTTCCTAAGGGCAGACTAGTACAGCCATCACTTTACATTGATCTGCTAGGCAGAATCACTGAGCAGCATTTTTAACTGAGACTAGATTAAAAAGCAAACTATCAACACAAGGGGCTACAGAGCCTTCACTTGGTATTACTCCACCCCAGATCCACCACTACAGCTCAAAATATCTATTTCTTTACAATAAACAATGGAGAGGGCTGGGGGAAGAGCTAGGACTACTACTAGTTACTGCTTGGATTTCCATGGGAAACCAGTACACACAACAGCCCTTTTTACTTCCACTGAAGAGACTTTGGCAACAGACATGAAGACGACAATTGCCGTTTGTCCTGCCTCTGCACAGGGCTCTCACAGTACATATGCAAATCTAGTAATCAAGTACAAAATAGCCAATTTACAATACCTGATTGGATTTTTAAGATTATATTGTGCATAAGACTAAAGTTGGGGGTAAGTTTCTCTAGTGCAAGCAGGCGTGAGCAGATTTGAACCTTAGATCACAGCCCCTAGAGTTTATCCTCAGACCCCAGGAGGACCTGTAAACTTTGTTTCGCCTTCACCGTCAACGGCATCTGTGAGTTCTATTTAAACCGGCAGCACCCATGGCGAGTAGCTTGCTGCGGAGAGGAGCACATTTACATCAGTGCAGAACACAAAACAAATCTGTGGCATTCAAAAGATGAGGAAATGGGGGTGGGGGTCCTCTGGGCTGCAGCCATCTTAATTGTCTAAACTGAAAGGTGAGTGAATGAAAGCCAACTCTGTGTGCCCCTGTGTCAGCTTACATGTGCAGAGCAGCTGCAGAAGTGTTTATGTTAAAGATGTATCCAGCTATCTGGAAGTCAGTTACAGGAACGGCTCTGTGTAAAAGTCCCAGTGTTTGCTAGCACATGACTGTTCTTCCAGCTGCACAGGAGTGTAGTGTAGAAACAGGAGGGATGTCCATCGGCCAGTAACCCTTCACCGCAAGCATCCAGGACATCCCAAGTGCCAGGCACTGCTGCCAAGGGTAGTACCACGAGGGCACACAGGATTCCTGAGACAGATCCCAAAGCCTGTCAGAAGTCAGAATTCGAGTGAAGTATCAGCTACTCAACGAGTTTGTTACATCTGAACGGATCAGCTTAATTCAACGTCAGATGGCTCAGGATAGCCTCTGCTGGCAGCCGGAGGAGCCATTTGTTCAAACAACTCAAATCACTATTGTCTTATAATGAGGGGAGAGGAAAAAAAAAAAAACAAAAAAACCCAAAAAAGTGGTTGTTACAATTATCCTTCATTCAGTTATACTGGATGGGGCCCCAGAGGCTGGTGGATATCTGGGAAGCCCTCACAGCTCCTGCAGCAGGAGATGCAGTGTTCCGTCCTCTAGTCTTCACTCTGAGTAATGCATGATTGACTCCACATAGTTCCCTGGGAAGAGCCCCGTCACTCCATTCATGACTCCCTCATACCAGCCGTCATCATTTTTCTTGATGACATAAATGATGGCACCTTCCTGAAACGAGAGCTCATCTTCTTTGTCCTTCGTGTAGTCATAGATCGCCACCACTAGGAAAGAACAGAGCATGACTGTTAGGAGAGGTACAGGGAGGAGGAGGATAATCAACCTGCCTCGTACAAAGTTCTCCACGTTCAAGGCAATCTCAGAGAACTGCACTGCCTCACCTCTGTGTGTGCAGAGTGACCTGCTGAGAGGGGCAGTTTCTTCCAACCCCTTTTATAAGAGCTCATGCTTTGAAGCACATGAGCCAGGACTACTTTAACTCTTCTATTCTTACTACTTCCAGACCCACCAGAGGAAAAGTTTACAAATATATGATAAACTTTTGGTGTGGAATGATGCAAGGAGGTGGATGTAACTCCCCATGGCTATGACCACTCAGACCTACTCCAAGATTCATGTATTAGATATATGTGCTAAACCAGATCTCTGCACAACTAACAGTCAACAAGAAAACATGGAAGAGGAACAGTAGTAAGAGCTCTCTTCAGGTCACACTAAGAATGAGCCAAGGCTAATGTCCCAGACTTCCATCTACCTTAGCTACTTCCACATTTATATCTGTAAAATGCATATGTAGTACGCTAGAAGTCACCCCCAGGGTGTAACAGTGCCAAGGTGGGCTCCTAGCCAATTAGGAGCTAGGAAGAAGTAGGGTGGTTCTCTGAGACAAAATGTATGCCTACTGTATCAGGACATTTTTCTTACAGCTGCAGAACATTTTACTGAAGGCACAAAAGCTGTTAGGAAAGTCAAAGAAACTGGAGAAAGCAGTGGCAAATATTAAAGAGAACATTGTCCTGAAATGGCAGAAACGAGACATCAACTTGATATGTTTTTCCATTCTCAGTCCTATCATTATGTGTTCCATACAGAAAATTAGCTATGCCGGACTCTGAATACTTTAACAAATAGCGTCAGTCACTGCTTTGAGCACTTGGCAATGAAACATGCAGTGCTGCCATTGAAACAAAATGGATGTTGGACAGGGATCCTACAATCTTGTACTGGGGATAGAAGGGAAGATACTCTAAACCAAAGCAAGGAGAAAAAAAAAAAATTAACAGCGTGTACTCATGAGCAGTGTCCAAGAGTCCTACTAAACTCATCATTCTTTTCAAAAGAAAAGAGGTCATTTTCTTTCGGAGGCGGCAAAGGAATCAATGCAAATATTTACTAGGGAAACCTGGATCCTGAAAAGATTATAAAGTAAAATATACAAATCAATCCTGGTGGAGAATCAGAGTATGTACAGAGAATTTTTTTTTTTTTTTAATAAATCTCCCAAACAGGAGATTTGTATCATTTGACCAGAGCATATTTAAAAAACATTTCTGGCTCTACACTTATACCAGCACAGTTAAGTAACTCATTTGAACTAGTTTTAGACATATCATTCTAAGGAAACAAAACACAAATGGAGAAATGAGTACATTTTTAGCTTGAAAAACAGAAGTCACTATATGAATACATGATACATTCAATTAAAGTCCTTCAAAATTCCTTTTTAACTGCCTTCTATACCTGTTCATTTTAAAACATTTCTTCCTAGATTCACTGTCCTGCTGTTCTTCATTCTCTTGATAATAATAATTCAAGGATCACGGTAACTTCCAATTTCCTTCTTTCTCATTTTGAGTGTACTCTAGTCCCTTCTAGTACTGGATGGATTCATTATTTCATGATCACAAGTAGGAAGCTCTTCCCTAAGTTTGTGATGAAAATTCGTTTCTTGTTAAGCCTCTTACAAAATTGCCTGAAGCCTGGTTTTGTTTTTACATCACCATTGCTTCCTCCTGCATGTTACTTTTGTACTGGCAACGTTCCTCTCTCTAAAAGACTGTTTAATCCTTCTGTCTGTAGTCCCACCAGTTCAAGCTGTGAGCTTGTCACATACCACGAGTTACCAGGAGCCCAGGCCAGTATTGCCAAAAAGGCTCCAGAGGAGACAGGAAGCAGCAATACTGACTCAGGAGGTGGCATTCTTCCCTGCAAGACTGAGCCAGGACCTCTTTTAGTTTCTATCTGAACACATTTCAATGCAGATATGAAAAACAGAATTACTTATTTAGGCTGATATTCTTCCAGTCAGTGATCTTTGGTTCTTCAACAATTACACAGAGTTTGGCTGAACTCTGTTACATCAAACTGACCACAAATGTAGGCCAGACTGATTATCCAACTGAAATCTGATAGCTGTGACCACGCACTTTCCCTATGTGGTATGAGGGCAATCTTTCCTTCTGGATACCCATTTCTGTTCATCTGGTTTGCGAAGTTGGGACATTTTCTTACCTTTTCATGCCACACACCCAGACACACAGCTCAATGGAAAACTGCAGTGCGCTTTCCTGGACATTGCTGTTTGGCTGTTGCTATTACAGCCATGTGGTACCGTCCTCAAGATCAACATCCCCAGTAACTGTATCCTACCTAAAAGTTTCTCCATCTGTTCAAAATGGATCTGCTATTCACTTGGTTCCTCAGCTGTAGGTTAGAGCGTGTCTTAATGTTAAATATACCTCCCACACCCCTTTACAGAACAGGATCATACTGAATCCCATCTCAATACATAGCAACCCTCTGTACTTGACACCTCCTTCCATCAGTTTTGTCCGCTTTGATTCATGTGGCACAGAAGACTATTTACAGGAACTTAAGGAGTTGCCATAGGAATAATTACTTTGCAGAAGATAAAGCATTATTAGTTCACAGCAGGATAAGTATACACATTCTTTAAGTATGAAAGTCCTCTTTTAGCATGGGGCTTTTCATTAACTTTAAAGCTTGTTTGCTACAAAAAAAAAAATCACAGCCAAGCACTTCTCTCCCAACTCCAGCAAAGCAGTCAAATCTCAAGACATAGGCTGAATATAAGTGGAGCTATTCATAGAACTACAACAGAATCCACACCTATGTCAGTATCTCTTTTTTTGTGGTATCCTAAAAGTACAATGTACGAAGAACTGTTAAATAGTAAGCACTTTAACTTTTTATTACTTTTATGAGTGTTTCTAAGAACAGAGCAACCTTTTAGATGTTTTAGTCATCTAGTTTTCAAAATACAGAACAAAATTATGTTTTTGCATGGGACTCTACATCAATACAGGAGAATGTTTCATTTCCTATACTTTTGCTTTTCTGCAGGAAAAATGTTCTGATGAAAAGCCTGACTTTCTCCAGCTTATCTTTAAAGACTCCCATTACAGTTTTGCTATCCCACGTGATTTTTCCCATAAACATCAAACTACAAATGTCTGGACTGCCTGCTGAGATGGAACAGATCTGTGCATATATGCACCTATATAAATTATGTTAGTTCACAAGCTCATAGAAGTCACACAGAAAAGCAGATCAGAACAATATGCTATAATTCAAATGTCATTATTTCTTCAAACAGAAAGTTGTTTTCCCAGGCCACATGCCACACAATTTCGTGGCTTCTCTTCCCCACAAACACACACACCCCCGCTTTGCATTAGTATGAGACATTATAAGCAGGCAATGCACATCAGGGTCCTCCTTTTTCTCTTTTGCTCCTAGCTGAAATGCCACTGAGGATTTGCTGAGGGCCAGGTGGCAGGAATAACAGAAACATAACAAAGAGTGATACGAATGTAGAATTAGGCTAAAGAGTGTCTTATGGCTGGAAAAAAATACAGAGAAAAATCTTGAGACTCACTCTCCTATCAAAAAGTAACATGCCTGCCATCTTCATCCAGCACAAAATACATCAACCACAATGAAACTGAGCAGATACTGTGCATTCTCAGAACTGCCTGCTAAGGAGGAGTTCATTAAGTAATGCAGCACATCCAGTATTTGCTGAAATGATCTGTACTGGTCCCAACCTGAAGAACTTTGCCATCTTCCCCCAAAGAAAGAAATGCAACATCAGGAACCCCACCCCACTCCAAAACCTGATTTTGTGAAGCCAGGTAACTAATATCAATAATCAGGAATACCCTCCAAACTGCACAGTAAGAAGAGTACTTTGTATATGAGGTCCCTTTTTCCCTCTCCTCCCTCACAGAAATCAACTTCCCTGACAAGAATAAGCTGAAGCAACTTTTAATCAACAAAGAGCCTGTGTGCATCAACAGAATAATCATAGAATCATAGAATAGTTTGGGTTGGAAGGGACCTCTAAAGGTCATCTAGTCCAACCCCCCTGCTGTGGGCAGGGACATCTTCAACTAGATCAGGTTGCTCAGAGCCCCGTCCAGCCTGACCTTGAATGTTTCCAGGGATAGGGCATCCACCACCTCTCTGGGCAACCTGTTCCAGTGCTTCACCACCCTCAGCATA